AAAAAAAAAAAAAAAAAAAAAAACCCGACGTGAGCCAGTCAGAAACAAAATAACACAACCAGAGGAGTCCACAGCATTATGATAAACTATAAGCAAGCCCTACGGCAGTGACATTCTATTAGAAGGCAAGTTCATACATGTACAAGTGATCACTGTACTGCCAATCAGAATATAGACATGTAAAATTAAACTGGTGAGATGAATTCCACAAAGAGGGGATGTTGCCAAGAGAAGGCATATATGAACAAGTTGTGCGAAATATGTCCCTAGGAAAAATTGAGAGATAGCAAGAACTCGTTCAATTTTGAAAATCAATGCGACTTATCCTTGCACGTAAAATTCATTTGTAATAAGCTGTGTAGTTCTACAGTCAGTATTCTAGGTTCCTAGTTAACAAATATGACCTTACTTAGAGAGGGTCTATTCTATAAGTCGTACAATAGTGTCCTTGAGTTTTAAAGGTTTACTTATGAGATCCCACATCGGTTGGAGAGGGGAAAGAAACATTCCTTATAAGGGTGTGGAAACCTCTCTAGTAGACGCATTTTAAAACTTTGAGGAGAAGCCCGAAAGGGGAAGCTAAAAAGGACAATATCTGCTAGCAATGAGCTTGGGCTGTTACAAATGGTATCAGAACTATACACCGGGCGGTGTGCCAGTGAGGACGCTTGACCACCAAGAGGGTGGATTGTGAGATCCCCATCGGTGAGAGAGGGGAACGAAGAATTTCTTATAAGGGTGTGGAAACCTCTCTCTAGCGGACGCGTTTTAAAACTTCAAGGGAAAGCCCAAAAGGGAAAACCTAAAGAAGACAATATCTACGGACGGTTGGTTTGGGCTGTTACATTACTGGATAGCAAACCAATATAAAGTGCATCTTCTAAGTTAAAGCGTATGTCGTACTGTCTCAATTTATTAAGGACAATAATAAGCCATTCTCGAGTAATTTTAGGCAAGTTTTAGTATAACAAAGAGCGCAGGAAAATAAAAGTCATAGACTTCATATAGTATACCTAATGTGTTTCCGAGCTCAAGAAAATGTTCATTCAGCCTGTCTCTCCTCAATTTTTCACGATCTGCCTTCTGAATTTTTCTCACTGCTACAGGATCTTTTACTTCCTCATCTGTTCTTAACCTGAGGAATGCCCAAACGGGAGGATGAAGTGTGAAAACAAGTGAGATGAAAACCATGTTTAAGACTTGTGAAACGTGTTAGAATACTACAACATGAAGAATGAAAGTTGTCCATCAGCAAATGAATTCCTAATATGCTTTCAATTAATGTTCCTTCGATCAGTTCATGCTATCCAAAAGGACCATCCCTTTCTTCATTTAGATTACAGCCTTCCAAAATGATCCCTTTGTAAAAGTTGAAACGGTCAAGTCTATGGATTCACGTAATTCATTGTGCCAGTTCAGTATCACAAGAGTTTTTCTATTAACGGAACATTTTTTTTCAACTTATTTACTCGCTATTTCTTGTTTTGTTTTAATAAACTAAGCATGTTTGCTCACTATTTCCTCGTTCCCTTCCCTACAATTCATACTTCGAAACTCACGAATTGAATCATGGAGCTTCGTTCTCAGTAGTACGATCCAACTCACAGATACAAATAGCGTCAAAATCAAACACCGTGATTCCTAAGCAACAAGACAACCCAAAGATAAGAAACCACTGAAAATTCCGCTTGGCGGATTCAACAAGACCAATTCAATAAAAACGTATCCTAATCCCAAGGAAGATCGCTTATCAGTAATACACAACACAACATGGAAACAAGCATTTGACTTAACTTAAACACCATCCAAAACTGTTTATTCCAGATTCAAAACATCATACAAGCTTAGTGTGAATCAAATTCCACAGTCCTCACAAACCTGGATTCAGGAAGTTGGTTGTTATGGTGGCGACTCGACGGCAAAGAGAGAGGCTGAGGCGGAAGCGACGAGGAAGGAACTAAATCAGCTGTAACAATAGATTGAGAGAAATCTCCAGTCTTCCACTGCTCCATAGCGATCCCAAAAGTAAACAGAACAAACCGGCGAGTAAATCTCAGAGTTCAATTCCTCCGATTCTTCCTCCAATAGAGAGAAAGAGAAAGGGAAATCTGGAGAAAACGAAGGGAAAAGAGCAATCTGGAATGAAAATTCAGCGCCGGAAGAAAGAATTTGAGAGGGAAAGGGAAAGGAAAAAAGGGAAAAGAAATGCGCATACGCTAACATCTCCACTAAGCTAAGACCACAAAATCCAGCACCAAATCGTGCACTCCACGTGCCGCGACCACGAGGATGCCCCGGGCCCAACCAAGCTGCATCATAAATTTTCGGTGCTTCCGTTGCTACTCATATCCCATACCCCTCCCTTTATTTTCATCATTTTTTTTATTTTTATTTTATAAAATAAACTCTATTTTTATTTATTTTTATTTATTTTTTTCACTTTTTCTGCATTTTTTAAAATAAATTCAAGTTTTTTAATTTTAAAATTGAAATTAATATTTAATAAGAGAAACAATATAAATAATATGAGATAATAAAAATTTTAATCGTATCGTTTTTAGATAACAGAGGGTGAAAATGGACCCCAAGAGGGCAAAATCCTCGCCGGGAAAACGTTGCAACTACGACGCCGACCGACGTTTCCGGTGAGCAACGTCGTTTTTCCATCTCCCGGTGGCCGTTTTTTGGCCGGCGCTGTTGTAACAGAGTGTTCACCTGGTTCTTCAGGACAAATTCTCCATTTCTGTTCAGGCTGAGGGAGACGGTATGCATTGAAATGAACAAACAACGAATTACAAGATGAAGATAGTTACTTACAACGTCAATGGTCTTAGGCCACGCATCGCACAGTATGGTTCACTCCTTAAGTTGCTCGATTCCTTCGATGCCGACATTATCTGCTTTCAGGTCTGCTGTGCTTTCATGTTTGATTAATTAGTTTTAGTCTGGTTCGGTATTCGTGATTTCCGTCTTCCATTTAGGAAACGAAATTAAGGAGGCAGGAATTGCGAGCGGATTTAATCATTGCTGATGGTTATGAATCATTCGTTTCATGCACTCGTACCTCTGAGAAAGGTCGAACCGGCTACTCAGGTTAGCGAGTTCTTTGTTGAATCGCCTAAACTAGGTCTACTATAAGTTTGTTGTAACTCGATGTCATTTTGTTTATCGAATTCTAATCTTGAGAGTTGGTTCACTGTTCAAATTTGCTGTCGTTTGACTATGCCTTTGTATCTCTTAGCAACGACATGGAATTTAAATGTCAATTATCTTCAGTCGTCGGCCATCCTAGTGTCAATGAAAGGTAGCTATGTCAGCATTAGTTTATTTAGCCGAAGTTTTGTAGGGGTTGCTACGTTTTGCCGAGTTAAGTCAGCATTTTCAAGTAATGAAGTAGCCTTGCCAGTTCGGGCGGAGGAAGGCTTCACTGGACTTTTAGAAAGTTCGCACAAAGGAGAAGGCACAATGCCTGCAGTTGCAGAAGGGCTTGAGGAATTTTCGAAAGAGGAGCTCCTCAAAGTTGACAGAGAGGGGCGTTGTATTGTCACAGATCATGGTCATTTTGGTAAGTTAAAAGACTATAGTTCATAAGTTTGTCATCCAAGTGTGACATTATGGTTTTGTTGTTGGTCTAGTAGTCTATACTTGCTGTGTCAAGTGAACCTTATTCTTGTAGAAAATGCATGCCAGCCATTTTCTTATGCCACACTTCTGAAATGCAAACATTCGGAGTTGTTCATTTCTCTCGCTCTACATTTCTTTTTTAAATTCATAACTTGATGGAATTTGTTTGGTTTCTATTGATTAGTTCTCTTCAATATTTATGGACCTCGAGCTCAAAGTGATGATACAGAAAGGGTTCTATTTAAGTCAAACTTTTACAATATACTACAGGTGATTATATTTTTGAACCCTACCGTGAATATATGATCATTATATAATTTTCAGGCAGTATGGATTTACAATAAGTTATCATTTGACTAATTTTGGATAATTCCTTTGTAGAAAAGATGGGAGCACCTTCTGCGTCAAGGAAAAAGGATATTTGTTGTTGGTGATCTCAATATTGCACCCACCTCTATGGATCATTGTGATGCAGGACCAGATTTTGAGAATAATGAGTAAGCATGTTATCTGGCCTTCTAAATGTTAGTGGCCTTATGCTCTTGCCTAATTCTATTGCTGTCTTGCTCTCAACGACTATAATTTCGTTTGAATTTTATTGGGGGACATATATGATTTTTCTTATAGGTTTCGGAGATGGCTGAGATCTTTACTGGTGGGATGTGGTGGTCATTTCACTGACATTTTCAGAGCGAAACATCCCGATCGGTAGGGTTTTGTGGATGAGAAGTTTCTGATTTGCTCTACTCTGTTGGAATATGTCTATTGCCATTGATAAAACAAAAATCATCGGTACTTTCTGGCTGTCTATTTGTGGTATTAGCTAATAAGATGGAATTGTTGTTTGATGATATTAACCCACCCACCAGTACATGCATTTTGAATTAGTGACATAAGATACAATTATGCCATTATCATCGTTGCTCAAGTACCACTGGCAGTCATTTTAATTTTGGATATAACACTTCTACCTCCTTTTTATCACTATGGTCTGTCTTAGCCCTGTTTCTCAGCTTATAGACAGACTAGAATAATATATTTCTCTGTGTGTAGATGATTTGACCAATTCACTTGCAATCAAATTTAGTAGCTCTATTGTTTTGTTTTTGCAGAAACGATGCATATACATGCTGGCCTCAAAGTACAGGTGCCGAAGTATTCAATTATGGGACAAGGATTGACCATATTTTGTGTGCTGGACCATGCTTACATCCGGACAGCAACTTGCCAAGCCATGATATTGTGAATTGCCATGTTCTGGAATGTGACATACTGTCACAGTATAAACGCTGGAAAGATGGAAATTCATTTAGGTACATAAATCAAATTGGATGTCAAGGTCTATTTTCCATAAATTATTAAATTGATTATGAAGCTATGGTATTATACGTACTCACATATTTCAGCTATTGGATTCTTCATTTTGATGATGCTTGACCCTGAATTTCTGCTGAGCATCAATTATTTGGTTGTATTTATAGTGGATTATTATGTGTGTTCCTAATCCTGCTATAACATCAAATACTAGAAGGATTTTTATAATATTGTGAAAAGTTGTGCTGTTGTCATCAACATTACCATTGCGAATATCAACTTAAACTAATTCAAGATATAATGGAGTTCAACGCACCAAATTCAACCAAGAAGCTTGGATGTGTTAGGAGGTGGACGATACAGAATAAGAACTAGGGGTCGAATAAAGTCTAATGGAATTCCATTCCACATTGAGTTAGGTTTATATTTCTTCAAGTACAGTTGCTACAAGAATTCAGATTAGAACAAAGTTTTGTTAGCTTTTTATGACTTGGCATATGACTCAAGTCCAAGCTCCGAACTAGATTCCCAAGGAATTGTAGACAATTCTACATTTCTCAATTTTTCTCGGTGTTTTTTTCTTTTCTTTTCTTTTTTTTTTTTTTTTTTTTTTTTTTTTTTTTTTTTTTTTTTTTTTTTTTTTTTTTT